TTTGCTGTTTCAGGGCTCCAAAGGTAACATTATTGGCACCATTACTTCAAAAATCTGCTTAAACACGAACAAATGAACTTGTCCAAAAAACCCCGCTGCTTGCCCGAGGGCAAAATAGCTGTGTCAAATGCTTAAATCCACCATCACGACGCATTCAGCTTCCGCAGAACGAATAAAGCCAAGCATTTACCAATAGCTTATTAAAAAGCAGATGAATTACCTTGACCATCTGATTTGTTGGCTCGAAACATGCATTCGTAATGTCTGCAACCGACAGCGATTCGTGGTAGGCTTTGTCAGCCGAAATGAGCGGTGCGTATGTTGCCAAAGGAAAGTGTACACGTGGAAAGGGCACCAAATTTGTTTGGAATTCAATCAAATCCACGTTCAGAGCACCGTCAAATCGAAGCGAAGCGGTTATTGATGACACAACCTGCAATTTTTAATCTGTTAAAACTGATCCATTATGTACAATACAAATAGAGAGCCCTTGCTTTGCCAGTACAAGACTCGGATATTCATTAACATGCGAGCAGCATGGCTGAGAAATAGCAGAATAAAAGGACTGTGCTAAAGTGTTATGTGTAAGAAGGCATTTTACGATGCAATCCCTGTGTTTCATCCCTTAGCTGTAAACACAGACCAAGTTATGCATGCGACTAGGAGCGGGAATCATCAGTACAGCCTGTTGCCTGTCATGTACTGAACAGCCGTGTAACTAATTTGCAAGATGGATGCGCGAAAGAAGGTGAAAACAGAGAAAAAACAAACAGAGTGAGAGAGGAGTGAAAGAAAAGGGAGTTAATTCATATGCGCCACAATTTCCAAACAGAAATTGTAAGCAAAACGGTTATTGACTAGCGCAAATTCCACAGCATCACGGCACCCTATTTTGACTTATTGGAAGAGCTGTGATCATCTTTTCGACATTTTTGCTGAAAGCAATGACGTACGTATGCAAGACGCGATCAGTGACGAAAGTGTGGGACGAGCACTGGCTGTTACGGAGAAAGCTGTGTAGCAATGGCTGATTGGAGTGCCTCTTTGAATTTATTGTTATGGACAAAAAGCCTATTGTTATGGTCAACAAAGGTCAAACACTTAGGTCAATTGTTATGGTCAATATATCAATTAGGCTCCGTTAAGCAAAAAATGTTGTTCGTTTTGCTCACTACCAATGCGAGTTGCAAAACAGCGGATGTTACTGAACACTTAGATGCACTCCCACTTAGATGCACACCTTGCCTAGTTGCTCTTCAGTTTCATGTGATATGTAGATGTCCCGTCTCCTGACTCGAGTTTCTGCTCCGTGATATTTAATGTGGTGATTCGCAATGAAATATGGATTCTTTTTGTGTCACAAAAGTTGTACGGTGGCAGCTTAGAGCTGCTGCCGAACTCCTCGCTGTTTGAGATACCTTTTGCGTGTGTTTTGTTTTGTGCTTGTACTAATAAAGTTTGATTTGCTGATTGAGGCGAGAGCCGCTCTACAGCCGCTCAGGCCTCCGGCTGCTTTCTTCCCGATCATTACAGATACTCGGACGGCCTCAGACAACTCTACTTACCTGGGAAATCAGCCGATTAAGATTGGTATACGATGGCCGTTCGACGTTCAGATTACGACGACAAATGTCGTAGATTGCTTCGTTGTCGACCATAAAAGAGCAGTCCGAATGCTCAAGCGTTGAATGTGTCGTTAGGACCGAATTGTACGGCTCAACCACGGAAGTGGAGACCTGT